TCATTTCTTCAGATTAAAAAAAAATTGCAGCAGCTTCTTCCTTTTATCCCCAAATTTTAAAATTATCTAATAAGCAACGTAATTGCAAAAGGTTATTTTTTTATGGTTAAATGACATAGTCATATGTTGTGTGGGATTTGTTTTCAAATCCTCCAGAATAATAACAAAAAAGGAGGAAATGAATAAATGAAACAAGATTGACAAAATGCAGATAACTGTCTNAGGAGTAAGAAGAAAAAACACATGGTATTAATTAGTGCAAGAAATAAAGAAACAAACCACAAAATTTACTAAATTCCACACTATTTTATGATAAAAAGCTGTCAGAAAACTGGTAATGTTGAAAGAAAATACAAAATGAGACTGATATTTTGTGATGACAGAACGTAAGGAAGTGCTTACAAAAGTTTGAGAAGAAACTATGTTACTTGTATATTGCTAGTAGGATGCAAAATGGTACAGCCACTCTGGAAACAGTCTGTTAGTTTCTTATAATATAAAAGTAAAAATTATATTATATGACCCAGCAACTGCACTGCAGATAAACGAAGACTTATGCTGACACAGAAGTCTGTCCATAGTTGTCCACAGCAGCTTTATTCATAGTAATCACAAACTGGGAACAACCCCGTTGTCCTTCAGCTGATGAACTGTTAAATAAACTGTGGTACCACCATATGATGGGCTACTACTCAGCAATAAAAACAAACTATTTATACACACAGCAACTTGCACAAATATCCAGAGAATTATACTGAGTAAAAAAAACAAAAACAAAAAAACTATCCCAGAAGGTTACATAGATTATTCCACTTATATAACATTCTTGAAATGACAAAATTATAAAAATGGCGAACAGATTAGAAGTTGCTATGAGATAAGTTCAGAGGATATAAATGGGGGAGGCGGTGCAGGAAAGAAGTGAGTGTAGCTATAAAAAGGGCAACATGAGGGAAGTACATATTTTGTATATTGACTATATCAACATTAACTGATACCTTGGTTGTGATATTGTACTATATTTTGCAAGATGTTATTATTGGAGGAAACTCGGTAAATGGCATATGGGAACTTTCTGTATTATTTTTTACAGCTTCATGTGAATTTGCACTTAACTCCAAATAATAAATTTAATTGTTTAAAAAGGAGGTGGGAGCCAGATGATGAAGGGCATAGAATGATGTGCTAGAATTTTGCTATTTATCATGTAACCTCTATTAAGCTGTGAGCTTCTGTGCTAAATTGTGAGGCTCTTGAGAACAAAGCCTACAAGTAATTCATCCTTTTACCTCTGTGTCTGAAATATAAAAGTTATTCCATGAATGCAAGTTGAGTGAATGGGCTGTGGGCAGCTGTGAAATGTTTCCTGAGTACAGACATAGGAATGACACAATGCCAGGACTGACAGAGGTGCCTAGCAAATGCTTGTATTCTTGAGTAGAGAATAGGCAATGTTTAACAAAGCTGTCTTTTGCAGCACAAATAAGTTTGGGTCCCATCTCTATCACAGACTCTCTGAACTTTGGTTTCCTTATCTTCTAAAAGGAGTGTCACAATACTAGCTCATATAGTAGTTTCATGGATTAATTGAGAAAATGTATGTAAAGCATTTAGCACAACAGTAAGTGCCGGGACATAATTAGCACTCTATGCACGGTAGATGCTATTATTACTGCTGTTGTTGCTATCACTATCGTACTAGTAGTTACTCTAGAAGGCAGATAAAAACCATGTGATCACACGCCCTTCAGTATAGATGTAAAAAATAGGAGAGAACACACATGGCATCCAACTGAGTCAACATGCAATTTTATTTTACTATAACTCATACTTCTTCAACTTTTTATTTATATTGTCAGCATTCGTAGGCCATTATATGACTTGATATCTTTCCTCTTCATCTCACATATTTAATAAGAATCTTTCTGCTATGGATTGAATTGTGTCCCCCCAAATTTTATTTATTAGAAACTTAATCCCCACTGAGACAGTGTTAAGAGGGTGGGAAATCCTACTATAATAATTGAAAGGTGGGGCTTTTAAGAGGTTATTAGATTGTGAGGACTGCTCCATAGTGGCTGGATTGATCCATTCATGCAATAATGGGTGTGGTTCTGATGGCTTTAAAAGCAGAGCAAGTGAGGAGCTGGCTTTCTCTGGCTCAGCTATTTCACTACATGATACCTGGCATCGATATAGAGTCACCACCAGGAAAAGGCACTCACCAGATGTGTTCCCTGACTTTGGGTTTCCCATGCTCAGGAACTGTAAGAAATAAATTTTATTTCTTTATAAATTACCCAGTTTCAGGTATTTTGTTATAAGCTCCAGAAACAGACTAACTCAGAAAATTTGTACCAGGAAGTGGAGTACTGTTTATAACAAATACTTGAAAATACAGAAGTATCTTTAGGACCAGGTGTTAGGCAGAAACTGGGATAATTTGGAAGAGTGTGCTAGGAACAATCTAGAGGCTGGTGAGAGTTTAGACAAAAAGACCAGGAAAAGTTTACAATATTTTAAAGATTGGTTAAACTCTGGTGACCAGAATGCTGATAGAAATTTGGACTATAAAGACCATTCTAAGGAGGTCTGAGACAGAAATGCGGAAGAACTTATCAGAAACTACAGTAAGAGTCACCCTTGTTATAGAGCTGCAAGGAACTTAGTTGAATTCCATTCAAGCCCCAAAGCTTTATGGGATGCAGACCTTAAGAGTTATGAAGCAGAGTATTTGGCGAAGGAAATCTCTAAGCAGCAAAGCATTCAGGAAGATTCACAGATACTTATAACAGCCTATGCTGAGTTATGGTGGCAGAGGAATCAGGTAAAGATGAAATTTATAATTAAAAAGGAAGCAGAAAGTAAAAAATTGGAAAATTCTCTGCTTGGCTGCATAAAGAGTGACAAAGTCTACTGGAGAGAGTAAACCAAAGGTGTAGCTTAGCAAGTTTGCTAAAGAGATTACTATAGAAGAGAGGGATTATCAAGAGAATGGATAAAAGACCTTGAAGCCGTTTTAGAGATTACATTTTACAACCCCAGAGGACTAGGGAGACAGAATGGCTTTGAGAAACAGGCCTGAGGCACCCTCCTTGGGTTTGCTACCTAGGGCCACCTCGGGATGCTGCTCCCCACACCCTGGATGCTCCAGCTGCTCCAGCTGTGGCTAAACAGCCCTTAAATTGGGTGCAACCCAACAACGTTCTGGACTTCAGCCTCCTCACCTGAAAAAAATGAGGGCTTTGCAATAGGTCATAAAGTGCTTTTTCATAGACATTAGAATAAAATGATTAAGAATGCTTTAAACTCAAATAAGAAAACAGACTCACTGGACAGATGCTTTGGTCTCTATCAGCTTTACTTTCAGAGAAGTCCATATTCTCTGTCCTGGTATCCCTACCACACTCACTCACTGCCTGACAACACCTACGGGAAGCATGGCCTGAACACAAGCAGGATGATGAATTTCAAAGCCCAGTGGCTGGAGCAATGGGTCAATTATGCTTCCTGCAGTGGGAGATCTGAAAGGCTCATTTTTATGGCTGTCATACACTGGATACCCACAGGTAAAGTAAATTCCAGAATAGAACCACTATTCCCTAAAATAGTGATAAAGTTGCACACTCCACCCATCTCAGAAAATCTCAGTATCAAATAATGGAAATAAAAGCATAGCATTTGAAAACTACCCATAATGAGAATTACCCAAGTGGTCATCCATTTGTTTCTTACAAACTTACTCTAGGAGTTTCTGTGCATCGTAGTATCCAATTGGATGAACAGGAATACTTGGAAGACCGACAGCCTCTGTAATTCCATGCCTATAAGCATATTCTGAAAAAAAAAATGTTCAATATATTTCCAATAAAATTCAGTCCCTTTCATACGGTTCTTTGTAAAGCACATTAAAGACGTTCTCATTTTGCATCTACTGGAATTGTTAAAATAAAAACAATTGACAATTCCAAATGTTAGCAAGAATGTGGAGCTACTGAAACTATCATATATTGCTAGTGAAAGTCTAAAATTGTATAATCACTTAGAATACCTTTTTTGGAAAGTAATGCTAAACAGAAATGTGGCACAGCAATTCCACTTCTAGGTATTTACTCAAAAAAGATAAAAACATAGGTCCACAAAAAGACCTGTACAAAATTGTTTGTAGCAGCCACATGTATAATCATAGTCCAAATATTAATCATAGTCCAGACTTCTGACAACGGAAGAATAAATAAACAGTCCATAATATGATAAAAAGAAACAAACTATTAATACACATAATAACACAGAAAATCTCAAATCACTACACAGTGAAATAAACACGGCGCAAAAGAACATACACTGTCTGATTCCATTTACATGAAGTTCAAAACCAGGTTAACTAATAATGTATGTTGCTGGATATCAAAAAGCAGTTGCTTCTGGGGGCTGCAGTAAAAATTGACCTCAAAGGTGCACAAGAGTACTTTCTGGAATGATGGAAATGTCCTTATATCTTCCGAGTAACATAAACGTATAAAATTTTCAATTTATTGGACTGAACTCTTAAAATCTTTTGCATTTTATTGCATGTAAACTCTAAATAAGAACACACATTCTATCATTTCTTTTTTTTTTTTTTTCCTTTTTGTCTTTTTTCATGTCCGGCAACGGATCGCAACCCTCAGTGTCGCGCCCATACCGGACCGGACCAGCAACGGGATCGCAACCCTCGGTGCTACGCCCGCACCTCGCTCAGCCAGTGAGCGGGAACAGGTCTGTATAATAACAAAAAAGGAGGAAATGAATAAATGAAACAAGATTGACAAAATGCAGATAACTGTCTCTACTTTTGCATATGTTAGAACTATCCCATAATAAAAAGTAAAATTTAAAGAAAGAAAAAACCAAATAGTGTACCAAAGATAATTTGATGTTAGCCCCAAAGGGATAAACATAATTTTTCCCCCCTAAAATACCATCATTTAAATTTGAAGATCAACAGAAACATTCCAATTAATCTCATTTTATTTTCACAGTTGTAGCTTTGTATAACTATAGAATTATGGGAGAAGTCACATTTTTTAAGACTTGGGAATAAAGAAGTAGATAAGTAAAACTCAGGTAGATTCACGTGGTTTTATTATAAGGTAATATATTACTGTCAAATGAAAGAAAACAATCTATGACAATGTACTATGAACTAAGATTTACAAAGACAACAAATACATAAGCTTTAGATGACTCTATAATTTGATGGAAAAATCAGAAGAGGAATAAATATGTAAATGCCACAGATACTTTGGCAAACTATTTTATCCAAGTTACTCCATTTAGGTACTTTTAAACTACACAAACTGAACCCAAATATTTGTACACGTCATCAGATAGCTGAGTACATTCAAAATAAATTAGCTCCCTTTGTTAATGTTTTACAAGGGAGCATTTCAGGTAAGACAACTATGTAAATGCGGGAGCCAGACTGCCTAAATTTCAATCTCAAATCCTCCTCGCTTAGTGATGTGCTGATCTTGGGTGGATTGCAGATTCTAGTGTCACTCCCCCCAACCCCTGTCAATTAGGGATAATAATAGCACTTAGTTTATATGGCTGTTAATGCATGTAAAGTGCTATCATTTAGGAAACACAACTTGATAATTATCACTGTTATCTTTACAGAGCAACGAAACAATATGCATTTTCTGAGCTCTGTATTCTAAATATGCTATTTAACAGATTTATAGAATTCTGTTCTCCTATCCCTTATTCATAACTGAGAAATCCCCAAACCTGTGAAAACCATAAATTTGTGGGGAATTTACTTGACAACAAAACTTAATCTGACCTGAACTCCTTTGACAGCAAAATCTGACTTGAGCATACTTGAGTGCATTTATATTCCTTTTTACCCTCACTTTGTATGTTCATATACACTAAGTATGTTCATATATACTAAGTATACATCACACAGTACATTCATATATTGCCACAAAAATATTTATATGCTTGTTTTCTGCATTCTGTCCCAGCCCTCATGTTAGTGTTACATGATATATGTTATATGCAGCATATTACTTTTTAAATATCTGAGAAAGTCTGAATTCTAAAATTCATCAGGCCCAAGCATTCCAAATAAGGAATAGGGGACTTGAACCAATAATTTTCAGAGCTTGAGATTCTTTAATTCTTAGATGCAAAGAGAATAAGGAAAAGACATACAGCATGTTTCAAAGACAATTCTTTAATAAAACCACACTAAAACGTTACTAAGTTTCCTGTGATATTTGAGGCTGATCACTCACCATTTCTGGATAACCTGGTGTGAGAGGGTCCCCTGCACCATTAAGATTTAGGATATTTCCACGCTGGACTCCACCTCCAGGAAGATTCCAGCCATCTGGATAGGGCTCCACCCCAGGAGCAAAGTAGTCAGCAGGGTCTGAGTACAGAATGATTCCTGTGGCCCCTGCCAACTGAGCATTTTTAACCTGGAAAACAGTGTCTTTCATTCGTACTTTATGTTGGTTGTTCCAGAGTTGGCAACATCAGTTTTCAAAATTACACTTCAATGAGTAGTTGAACTTTATCTTCAACCCTTTACCGTTAGGCTTACAATGAAGGACATCTCACTGAGAATTGGCTTTTTCTTCTTCCTACTATAAGCTCAAAAACCGAGTCAGCCCTCAGATCAGCAGATTTGAGAAATTTCCATACTAGTGGTAGCAAGTATTCGCTGTTTCCTTCAACTAGTCTAGAAGCACCAGCAAGTAGACTCCACAGGCCAGATTCCTATTTGTTCTATGGTTGAAAGGGAATATTTTTGAAATTCAATTTCCCGCAAAAGAGAAAAAATATGTATATTAAGAAATCAAGTGATAGTAATTTTTAAACCTGCTATGTGTAAATTTGTTGCTCTCATTATCTAAAATAACTATTTCATATTAACATTTGATTTAGAAAATATTTTGGGAGATAATATTTAAAACAAAGACAACAAAAGTTAACGACAAACCCAGTGCATGCTTCTCTGGAGGCCACAGGCATAACTTGGAAGTACAGAAAAATCATCTCTGTTCATCCTGACCTTTTACACTGGCCAAATGCCAATGACCCAGTTTAAAACCATTGCCTATAGGCTAGTTAATGTGTTCTTCCTATTAGTTGTCATGTTAATGAATACAAGAGGATCACGGTCCTCAAAACTTTTAAGGAGATGCTTCTTCACATGTAAGATACATTGTAACTCCCTGTACTGCGGGGGAGGGGGGCGGGGGGGGAGAAAAAGAGATGATTTTTACCTTATTTCCTCTGAAAATTTTTCCATATCTGGCAATCACAATTTTCCCAGAGCAATTGATTTTCATGTCCCGCTCCATTTTAAAAAAGTCTTCAGTCCGTGCATAGTTAACATACACTAGGTCACCCTGTTGAAATAGGAATAATTTAGTATAATTTATAATACAAGGAGGTTGCTCTGTGTGAGGACTATTTGACATCTTTGAAAGAGGGAAGAGGCAAGAGCATGCAAGAGGGTCAGAAAAGCATGAGCCTCAAGTAAGTTTCAGGGATAAGTGAATTTAAACTGAGAAAGCAATTACGTGGGTTTCAGACATATGAACTGAATAATGAGTTTTGTTTGTACTTGTCTTTTATTTAGTGGCTATGAAGCTTTAAAAGCACTCTCCCAGAAAAATGCACATAAATATACAGATTGCTGCATGCAATTTGAAAGGGGTCCAGGCACCCTAAGTTAAGAAGCTCTTGATGAGAGTTTTATTCTCTTCAGAGTACATTCACAAATAGTAGCTTAATGGGTCTTCACAGCCACCACATAAGGAAAAATGAACAGGTAATAAGACTTCTGTGCAGGTCTGGTTTTAATCACTAGTATGATTATGTTCAAGTCTTATAATATCTCTGTCGATACTCTCACTTGTAAAATGTCTTGTTAGATTAAATCAGTGATCTTCCAACATTCTTTGCTTACTTAGTATCTAAATTAAGTTTGCAAAGCAATGTACCCCCACATATATTTCAGGTTGACATCCAAAGTTTTTATCATACCTTTAAGTAGCTACAGAGAATGAAATTTGTAGCATACTATAAATATTAACATTTTCAGAAGCAATTTTACACAACTTTCTATATGTATCCAAAGGAATTTAAATACTATATTTATGATTCGGTATCATCTATTTAAAAAATACATGAACACACTCCTCTACAATCAGAATTTTATCATTTATTTTTCTCTTTGAACTGTACTTCGTCCTTTTTCCCCCATAGCATTTTACTCTAAAGTAAAATATATTGTTGCAGGATACTGGGATGCACCACCCACATTCCCCCTCAGTGAAGGACTTCTTGCCCCAGCTGCGGGGAAGGCTTTCTGCAGACAGCCTTCAGCTATCAGCCCCTCAGTTACTGTCTCAGCTACAGACATCCTCTTGCTCAATGTCATACACCTTCTTAGGGTGTCACATATTCAATGACTGATGTGAGAGTATAAAGACCTGCACATCTCATTCCAATGAAGGACAACACTGAAGAACTATTCCAGAGCTCCCCATAGGGTCAGCCAAAGCTCTAGAGCTAGCTAATCACTAATCCAGCTTCCTTCCCCTCCCTGTCACAGAGGTTGATCCCAAGAAAACATTACTTAATTATCATCCAGCACACTAAATTCCATCTCAGTTTGCATTTTCTAGAAGCTGGGTATACTTGAAACTCTTTTACTAATCCTTGCCTAATTTCCTTGAGTAAGTATATGTATGTAAATCAGAAATTGTCTTATTTATTGAAACATGATTGTACATACCTGTGGGGTACAGCAATGAATAATACCTGTGTGCAATGTGATCTCAAATCAGGATAATTAGTATATTCAACATCATACAATGTCATCATTTTTTGTGTCCTTTTACCAATTCGTCCCTTACCCTCCTCCAACTCCCCCTTTCCCACTTCTGGTAACCTCAGTTCTCTTATCTTCTTTTGAAAGTTCAACATATTATTACGATTGTTGAATCTTACTTTTTTTATTATTTCTTTATTTTGTTTTGTTTTGTTTTAGCCCCCACTTGTAAGTGAGGACATGTGATATTTCTCTTTCCGTGCCTGGCTTATTTCACTTAACATAATTTTCTCGACGTTCATCCATGTTGCTGCAAATGGCAGTATTTCATTCTTTTTTTATGGCAGAGAAGTATTCTATTGTATAAATATACCACATTTTCCTTATCCAGTCATCGAATAATGGACATTTAGGTTGGTTCCAACTCTTGGCTATTACAAATAGAGCTGCAATAAACAAGAGAGTGTAGGAATCCTTTTGGCATTATGATTTCCATTCCTTTGGGTATACCCAGCAGTAGAGTTGCTGGATCATGTGGCAGTTCTATCTGTAGTTGCTTGAGGAACCTCCATACCATTTTCCAAAATGGCTGCACAAATTCATAATCCCACGGACAGTGTAGGACGGTTCCTCTTTCTCTGCATCCTCACCAGCACTTGTTATTCTGTCTTTTTGATAATAGCCTGTCCAACAGGGGTGAGATGATATCTCAAAGTGATTTTTATTTGCATTTCCCTGTCACTTAGCAATATTGAGCATTTTCTCATGTGTCTGTTAGATGTTCATATATAACAGATGGTGTGTGTTAAGAGAATTCTTCAGGAGTAAGTTATCATTATAATTACTAGTAGTACCAAATTAAGTCTAACAGCATCATTTCAAATTATTATTATTATTTTTTTTTCCTTTTTTCGTGTCCGGCAACGGATCGCAACCCTCAGTGTCGCGCCCGTACTGGACCGGGACCGGCAACGGGATCGCAAACCTCGGTGCTGCACCCGCGCCTCGCTCAGCCAGTGAGCGGGAACCGGTCTGTATGTGGGATCCGAACCCTCAGCGGGAGCGCCACCGCGCTCCCAAGCGGCGCACTGTAGCAGTGCGCCATTGGGCCGGCCCTCAAATTTTTATAAATAATGCATAAGCAAAAAATTTAACTAGAAATATATCTTTTAATACAATGAATGGGAAAATAAAGCATTATCTTATGCATCTGTGAGCGAATGAATTATTGCTACAATGAGACAATGATCAGCATCAATTGTATTCACATTCTTTGTTTTACACATAAGTTCTGAGAAACCTTGGATAGGAATTATTTAAACTTCAAGTTACAACTCAAAAATCACACACTGATCTATCCTCCAAGTGATTTTCAATGATGTCAGCTGGATACTTAATTGGGCTCACCTCTAACTTTAAGTGATTTGCCAAAGGATTTGTTGGCCAACTATTAGAATTATTGATGATGTTAATATTGAAAGCAATATTTCTAATTGTCTCTTTTTTTAGAGCCCCAGAGAATTTTGCTGCTCAGAGGAATACTTTACATTGTTTTAGGATGGGTGGGAAATGTCTTTCATTTGTAAAGTAAGAGAAAAATGATTCTAAATAAAAAGGAGGGGACAGAGTACCAGCTGGACCTCATCACAGGCTAGTTCTTAAATCCATGAAAGAGTACACTGGGTAATTGATGATCTGGAAACTGATTTTCTTAAAGTGATCCCATGCCTGCCCTTGGAAAGTCTGTATGCACCCCAGTCTGAAACTCCTGTCCTAGATGATTTCCAATATTCTGTAATTTTATTTTGGTTATTGTTTTCTTTTTTTTTTTGACTACATTTCTCATTGCATGTACACAACAAATTCACATCAGATACTAAAATAGAGTTGTTTACAAATTGATTCTATGACTCATTTAGCAAATTGGTTGAAGATCTGCCATTAGTGCCAGGCAGTGTTTTTGGCCATACAAAAAATTCCTGCCTTGTAAGATGCTATACGAGTTACACTGATATGGATGGGAGAAAGATAAGATAATAAACATTAAATTTAACAACCAAGCAAATTATGTAGTATATTAAAAGTTGATAAGTGCCATAAAAATATCAAAAAAGGCTTAAACAGAGTAGGCAAACTGTGAACTAGTGCTTGAATAGGTGAAATTAAAAAAAAAAAAATAGAATGGGGAAAGTCTAATTGAGAGGGATGCATCTGAATCTTCACTTTATTAAAAGGATTACTTTTAGCTCTTGTATTTCTTCCTAAGACCAGTACATTATTAATACATTATTAATGATATCACTATGTCTGATTTATAATTGTTAACTCTCTCTGGAGCACATTCATTCTATTTTAACTGTAGCTACAGTCATTAAGCAATTTGATTTCAGAAAAAAAAATTTAGTGTAAGTGTCCTATTTGAAATTTATCCTTAAAAAATGTCACCAACTTAGGGGAGACTATTATTTTTTAATGATTCTAAATGGTTTCTTTCTTTTGGTAAATCAGCATTCCTCACAAAACAAATTATAATGGAGAAGGGACTGGAGAAGACATTAGTTTAAAAATGATAGTAGACTTTGAAAATGAAAACCAGTGCGATAGATATGCCCTCTCAGCACTTCTCAAATCCAAGTTGTCACCGAGTTAGAAAAAAGCTTTGTTCTCAGATAATTCCTGTCTTGTATAAGTTACACTGTACCATTGTTCTATGACTGTGAATAAATACAATGTTGTACTAACAGCCTGGAATTTTCCATTTCCTGCAAGCTTCACTCTTCCTACCCTTGTTAATAGAGATAGAATTGGGAGGCAAGACCAGTGGTCCTCAACACGTGGTCCTTGAACCCTCAGAAACAACATCACCTAGGACCTTTTTAGAAACATAAACTCCCGCCCAGATGAACTGAAACTCAGAGGTGGGAACCAGAATCTGTGTTTTACAAACCCTCTGATCTTGTGATACATACTAAAGTTTGAGAACCACTAGATTAGAGTATATCATATACACATTGTAAAATTGCTGATTTCAAATGGCCTAAACTAGAGTCCAGTATTTCAAATTCCAGAGGATTCAGATGTAGATTCAAGGATTACTGGTAGTGAAATATCTTAACCACACATACAGACATACATATTTTTAAAGAGAATTAACACTTCACTGGCTGGTTACAGATGATCCAGCGAAGCACGCCAGCCAGCAGACTCATCTAATATTTGAACACAAACAGCAAACCCAACACTATCACATGCTCCTTCCGGCCTGCCATTGATCTGAAAGAGTTTAAGTCTACTGGAAAGAAATAAGAGACAATCATCTCTACGACTCTTTCTTATGAACAAACTAATTGTGTCAAAGTCCAAAAATTATTTGGGGGATTTTAACTGGTTATGCAATAAACCTGTAAATTAATATGAGTGTAATTTTCTTCTCATAACACTCAATGTTCTAGCCTCCTTTCCGGAAACATAACTTTTTTTTTATACATAATCTTTTTCTTGCTCAATACCTTTCACAGTATTCTTTGACTAGTGCATACTAGTCAAAGTGCATTTTATATTTTCTAGCTA